ATTCGTATCGTTGATATCACGACATCTTGGCCGTTGTGGTCACTGTTGATCCGACTGTTCTACAATATCCAGACATCTGAAACATTCGGCGGATAACCAAGGCTATGTTTGTCACCTCAATAAGCCCAGTATACAAAAAATACCATATGGAAGTAATCAAGAAGAAAAGTAAAACAATGGCGGAAGCAGTCAAGCTTCACAGCAATGCTGTAGCAGCAGCATTTAGAAAAGCGAAGCAACGGCGATGTATGGAAAGCGTAACAACAGCAGCTGGCGGAAATTAAGAAAATTAGGTTTACGGTTACAAGTTCTCGGTTCAGGATTGTTTCGCATGAATTAAATCATTACTTCACGAATTTATGTTAATTACTTTGTGAATTTAATGTGGATGTACGTGTTGGGTAATGAATAGCGACACGGAATGAGAAATTGATGAGCCGAGTTCGGATTCCAGGCGAGCCCGATACACCAACTTATGTGCTGTTATCCTTGAGAAAGGAATGAATTCGTCCCCTCCATTAAGTTATAGATTAAATAGTAGAACTTTTCTTTGGAAAAATAATTGCATATTCTCAAAAGATTAATGCAACATTCATTTGCACCAAAAAATGAATTCTTAAAAATCTAAAAGTTTTATTTTGGTAATTTACCTCCCAAAATGTTGTGCGTCCTGGGTAGAATGATAAACTACATCCGACAGCAAGACCACTGATCAGCAGGAGAGTGGAACGACCTCTTAATTGTTGATGTTCCCAGGTCTACCCTGACACGGAGTGGTAGCACCTGTTAGGGTGTCAACTATAGGCAAATAGTTAATACCCAAACTGAGGTCAAAATACTATGAATGTGTAAAAATACCGGCAATAAATATCTTGAGTTAAAATTATTACCAGCAATAAATCATTACCAGCACTACATTTTTGAAGGAAAAATATTACCATCAATACATTTTTGGAAATAATTATTACCGGCAATGAATTATTACCAGTAATACATTTTTGAAGGAAAAAATATTACCAGCAATACATTTTTGTAAATAATTATTACCGGCAATACATTATTACCAACAATACATTTTTGAAGGAAAAAATATTACCAGCAATACATTTTTGAAGGAAAAAATATTACCAGAAATACATTTTTGTAAATAATTATTACCGGAAATACATTAATACCAGCAATACATTTTTGAAAGAAAAACTATTACAATCAATACATTTTTGGAAATAATTATTACCGGCAATGAATTATTACCAGCAATACATTTTTGAAGGAAAAAATATTACCAGAAATACATTTTTGTAAATAATTATTACCGGCAATAAATTATTACCAGCAATACATTTTTGAAGGAAAAATATTACCAGCAATAAAAATTCTGTAGTCATTAAATAACCCATTCAGGTTGGTATGCCGTAAAACAAAACAAAACAAACAAACGAAAGTATTGCTCAAGTGTAAAAAAATCGAATCAGTTAGTGAATTTGGTGGAATTAAACAAGGCGACTAATACCTAAACAGTACTAAAAAGAACAAGACTAAATTGTCTTTGATACGGTCAGAATTAAAACCATGTTCAGTTTGAAATTTCGTAGAGGTTACGCGGATCCACAGATACGTGAAGAGGGTAAAACAGACGAAACAAAAATGACAAGAACCAGAACATGTAAATAATGTAAATGCGCTTAAAAATATGAGTTATATCTAGTTAAATGTACATATCCTAATGTTATTATCATTTAAAATGTAGCTGTACATTTAACGACATAGGTAGAACGACGCAAAGTTTAGAAGCTAGAATAGAGCAGCATGCACAGAGGAAAATTAGGAATAGAACATTTCAATTAAAGGACATTTTGAACAACAATTATGGTGCCTCCATTGCGGAGCATCTTATTAAAAACCGAAATTGTGCCGCTAACTTCAGCATTGACTCTTTTACCATCTTGAATCGTCCTCGCTATATATTGCAGTTAAAGGATTTGGAAAAAATTTACATCCGGTCCAGATAGCCCTCCCTCTTTTTACAGTTCAATTTAGATTGTATACCGCCTTTAATTAATATTATATATCGTTTTATGTTTTTTTTTTTTTTTTTTTATTATTATTATTGCAATATTCCATCTCTGTTGAGGGTGAAACGGGTTGGTTGTGTTTGTTTTATTTTTCGCTTCTCTTTTTAATCATGAAAAATAAAATTAGTCTTACCTTTTTTTTATTTCTATAATAACATTTTGTAGCCCGGAGAAAATTATGAAATATATTTATATATATGTATGTATGTATGTATGTATATATATATGTGTGTATGTGTGTGTGTGTGTGTGTGTGTGTGTGTGTGTGTGTGTGTGTATGTGATTAAATAAGTTACAAACAGTATGTCTGCTTATGCTTAGTATGATCCGTTCATATTCACGGATATTTTTTCCCGTGTATTACAATCAAATGATGCAAAGAAATGCTCTGTAACACTGAAAATCGTTTATTTCCAAAGTACTTTCCAGCTCTTTTTGAGATCACCATCAGAAAGAGATGGAAAGTGTTTGTTAGGATTTAACGTAATAGCAATTTAGCTTGCATTACGCCTTTATTCATATTACATATCGTTTTATGTTTTATTTTTTATTACAATATATAATCCCTCGATTCCAGCTCTGTTGAGTGAGGGCGAAACGGGTTGGCTGTGTTTGTTTTATTTTTCGCTTCTCTTTTAAATCATGAAAAGTAAAATTAGTCTTTCCTTTTTTTATTTCTATAATAAAATTCTGTACACCGTAGAAAATTATGAAATATCTTAATGTATACGTCCAGAATAAATAGTATTAATGAATTTCCAGCTTCATAGTATTAGTCAAGCTGGTTAGACAGACTGTTATTACTGGAGTGAGCATGGTACTCTCTACGTGCCTTTTGATTAACTGCATCTATTGTAGAGCGATTGGATCGCACAGTCTTGCAGGCTATTGTCAGTAACTTTGATCCTCACTGGGTACCTCACGATTATAGCCACAATTGAAACAAGTATAATCGGTTTTAATAAACAAAGTGTGGCTTGGATATATCATACGCCAAAATACTCTACCGGAGACGGTACTTGGAAACTGGGTAGACGTGGGGGAGTCAGTCCAAAAGCTGGATGAACAACATCAAAGATTGGACCAGGATGGACATTCCGGCGCTGTTTCGTCAGCCAGAAAACAGATCTGGTTGGCGGCGACTGGCTGCATGATCGCCGTTCATGTCTCCTCTACGATCGGCTCGGTCATAAGAAAAAAGAGAGTATGTTAGAAGGCTTCCATTTAAGTAAATGTACATGCGCATGCGTTAATATAGAGTCTGTGTATATAAATATACAAATGAAGTTTACCTATAGTCCAGTTCACACTCCACCCCGGTCTTTTCAACAGTAGAGTAGAGATTTATCTTTTGCTTCTTGCTTAGGACTGTGTTACCGGTTCCTTGTAAAATCTACTTCAGACCTGTACTCCTAACGTCTACGCCTGAACTCTGAGATTTTATTCGCTATTTAATTCTATTTTTTCACTCCTCCACAAATAGGAGTAAATACATTCGCCAATCCCATGGTTCACATTCCTTCCCGGTCTTTTAAACGAGAGTAGATGTGTATCCTTTGTTTCCTGTTTAGGATTGGGTTTCCGGTTCCTTCTAAAGTCTACTTCAAATCTATATACGTAACGCTTGTCCTTTCCTATGCTAAAATAACTCCACACAATAACACTCTACATGGGGTGGCCCTTCGACTTTGTATTGGGTGTTTATTAGTAATAAAAAAATAAAAATGCAGTAAGTTTTCTTCCTAAATATTCGTACTCGTTTGTACCATCTACAAATGCTGATATGATTTATTTTCCCGCTTCAATTCCACCCCCATCCAGCTAATTTGACAGAGCATGTTTATTTTTCAATGTTTTGCTTATTTTCCCGCTTATTTTCCCGCTTATTAAACTTACATAAAAGTTCCCACGAAAATTTTATCTAAACCGGCATATTAAAACATTACCACCGTCATGAAGATTTCAGGCGACAATTGTAATGATTACAAAAATGTATATGCCAGTCTCTCTTGATAAATGTATGTAGTGATATTTTTATGAAATATGTACCTACGTTTGCGTGTGTTTTCACTAAAACATGAGTGCAAGCGATTTACGTGAACATAGAACTGAAAATCTTTCTGTTTATCTCTATTCATAATTCTGCCTTGTTTGTTTGTGTGTGTGTGTGTGTGTGTGTGTGTGTGTGTGTGTGTGTGTGTGTGTGTGATCATATTTATGGTGTTATATAACTTAAAATATATGTATGAATCTATTATCAGCTCTGTTAAAATCTACACCTACATCTACAACTGCCTCAAATGAAGCATTTCGAGCACAGGTATTTGGGAAAATATCTCCAAGAAAAAAAGGTTTTGCCCTGTAGAAACGTACTTCCTATCTTTCTTCCGAGTACATTGGACATTTTTCCATCGATTTTTTTTTTTCACGGTATTTCTTAATCTGTCCGTTTTTCTTTCATATGCTCCTGTCATCATCGTCCCTTTCCATCTCTTCGGTATGAAAAACATCAAAAGCAATCGACTCTCGAACATAGATTAAATTACAAACATTGAAGAGATACTCAACGAAAAATGCATTGCCAGTTTATCGACGTTTCATACCTACTTTCTTATTCATTCTCTTTTTCTAATCTATTTAGTCCTTTCGCACGGGATTACACACACACATATATATATATATATATATATATATATATAGATAGATATATATAACTATATAACTATATATATATATATATATATATATATATATATATTATATATAACTATATATAACTATATATAATTATATATATATATATATATATATATATATATATATATATATATATATATATATATATATATATATATATATATATATATATATATATATATCGCTTATTCATTTCTGTATATTCACGTCACTTCTCGACATTGCTGGATGTTTCACTCGTATTTTTTTTTCTGTTTGCTACTCATTCATTATCTTTATTTTCTGTTCGTGCGTTTTATGTCTATTTGTTTTCCAGTATCTTTAAAGATAAATATTTACATATTTTTTTTTTATTATTATTCACGTTCTTCTTTTAATTCCTTTAACTTTTTTTCATTTTTTTCTCATTCTTTCATTTTTCTCCTTCATATTGAGTAACCTTTACTATGAATATTTTTGCTTTTAGTTTTACCCCTTCCCTGGCCATTTCTTTCTACCTTTCATTTCATTTCTCTGTATTGCTATATTTCATCAATGCTCGCTTGATTTTTCCAATGTCTGTCTTATATAATCTCGATTTATTTCTTTTTCTTTTTTTTTATTTATATATCTTTCATTTCTACATGCTGATAATTGTTCCTTTTAAATTCATTTTCTATTTGCTGTATTTTGTGTCTTTTTTGTAGCCTATTACTTTTGTGCGTTTGTGTTTTTCCTTTTCTTTCCGACTTTGTTATCTAGTGAGAAACTGATTTTTTTTCATTGTTTAGAATTCCGTGATTGAATCAGGTCTTGTTTTCGTCTGCCAAAGACAAGTCACTGCCTCTTGTTCATTTTTCTTTGTAGACTTAACAAAGAATGTAACAAGGTATGGCAAGAAGCAGATAAGTCATTTGTTTTATTTATACTAGTAAAACAAAACAAGTAGCATGCTTCTCCAAATAATATACACCTCTTACTTTCGAATTTTTATTTCATATTCTTTCTCCCACCCTCTCTGTCTAGATTTCTCTTTCTTTTTCCTTTGCTCATTCAGTAAATTTTAATTTGTTTCGATCTCGAATTTAATATTTCTCTCTATTCTGGATGTAGGCATTTTTCTTCTCGTTATTCTTTTCTTTTGTTCTTCTTTTCTGTTTTTCTTCTCGTTTTTCTTTTCTTCTTTTCTATCTTTTTTCTCGTTTTTCTTTTCTTCTTTTCTATTTTTCTTCTCATTTTTCTTTTCTTCTTTTCTATTTTTCTTCTCGTTTTTCTTTTCTATTTTTCTTCTCGTTTTTCTTTTCTTCTTTTCTATTTTTCTTCTCATTTTTCTTTTCTTCTTTTCTATTTTCTTGTTTTTCTTTTCATCTTTTCTGTTTTTCTTCTCGTTTTTCTTTTCTTCTTTTCTATTTTCTTGTTTTTCTTTTCATCTTTTCTGTTTTTCTTCTCGTTTTTCTTTTCTTCTTTTCTATTTTTCTTTTCGTTTTTCTTTTCTTCTTTTCTTCTTTTCTATTTTATTCTCGTTTTTCTTTTCTTCTTTTCTATTTTCTTCTCGTTTTTCTTTTCTTCTTTCTTTTTTCTTCTCGTTTTTCTTTTTTTTTTTTCTTCTTTTCTATTTTCTTCTCGTTTTTCTTTTCTTCTTTTCTATTTTCTTCTCGTTTTTCTTTTCTTCTTTTCTTCTTTTCTATTTTCTTCTCGTTTTTCTTTTCTTCTTTTTTATTTTTCTTCACGTTTTTCTTTTCTTCTTTTTTATTTTTCTTCACGTTTTTCTTTTCTTCTTTCTTCTCGTTTTTCTTTTCTTCTTTTCTTCTTTTCTATTTTCTTCTCGTTTTTCTTTTCTTCTTTTTTATTTTTCTTCACGTTTTTCTTTTCTTCTTTTTTTTATTTTTTCTTCACGTTTTTTCTTTTCTTGTTTCTTCTCGTTTTTTTTTTCTTCTTTTCTTCTTTTCTATTTTCTTCTCGTTTTTCTTTTCTACTTTTCTATTTTCCTTCTTGTTTTTCTTTTCTTCTTTTCTATTTTTCTTCTTGTTTTTCTTTTCTTCATTCACGTTTGTCTTTACATCTTTTTTCGTCTTTTTATTCTCGTTTTTTTTTCTTCTCATTTTTCATTTCTTCTCGTTTTCATTTATTCTCTTTTTTATGTATTTTCGTTTTTTTATTTATTTCCGTTTTTTTTTTATCTTTTTTTTCTTTTTTTCTTGGTTATTTTCTTTTCTTGTTGGTTATTTTTTTCCGTCTCGATTTTTCTTTTTCCTTGGTTTTTACTTTCCTTCTCGTTTTTCCTTTCTTCATTCTCATTTTTTTCTTTTCTTTCTCGTTTCATCTTTTCTTCTTGTTTTTTCTTTTCTTTCTTTTTTTCTTTTCTTCTAGTTTTTTTTTCTTTTTTCTCGTTTCTTTCTTTTTCGTTTTCTTTTCTTTTCGTTTTTATTTTCTTCTTCTTTTTTTCATTTCTTCTTGCTTTTTTTCATTTTCCTCACGTTTTTTCTTTTATTTATGTTTTTTTCTTTTCTTCTTTTTCTTTGTTTTTCTCGTTTTTTCTGTACTTGTTTTTCTCTTTCGTTTTTCGTTTTCTTTTTTCGTTCTTGTTTTTCTTTTCTTCTTTCTCGTTTTACTTATCGTAACATTTTTCTTTACTTCACCTTCTTTTTCTTTTCTTCTCGTTTTTTCATCTCGTTTTTTTCTTTCTCGTTTTACTCTTCTTTATTGTTTCTCCTTTCTTTTCAATTTTTCTTTTCTTCTCGTTTTCATTTATTCTCGTCTTTTTCTTTTTGTTTTTTCTTTTATTCTCGTTTTTTATCATCGTTTTTTTTTCTCGTTTTTTCTTTTATTATCGTTTTTGGTTTTTCTCGTTATTTTTCTTTTCCTCATTTTCTTTTCTCGTTTTTTTTTCTTTTCTCCTCGTTTTTCCTTTATTCTTACTTTTTTATCGTTTTTTCTTTTCTTCATTTTCTTTTCTTCTTTCTCTTTTTTCTTCTTACTCGTTTTTTCTTCTCATTTTTTTTCTCGATTTTCTTTTTCTCTTTTTCTTTTCTTCTTTTTAATTTCCTCATTTTTCTTTTCTTCTTTCTCGTTTTTTTCTCATCTTAATGTTTTTTCTTTTCTTCACGATTTTTGTTTTCTTCTCGTTTTTTCCGTCTCTTTTTCTACTTTATCATTTTTCTTTTCTTATTTCTCGCTTTTTCTTATATTAACGTTTTTTTTTCTTCCGTTTTTTTCGTCACGTTTTTCTTCTTCCTCGTTTTACTTTTCTTGTTTATTATTTTACCCTTTCTTCTCATTTTTTCTTTTATTCTCGTTTTCATTTATTCTCTTTTTTTCTCGTTTTTTTTCTTCTCGTTTTTCCTTTTTTTCTCGTTACTTTTCTTTTCCTCATTTTCTTTTCTTGCGTTTATTTTCTTCTTTCTCTTTTTTCTTTCACTCGTTTCATCTTTCCTTGCCGTTTTTATTTATTGTAGATTTTTCTTTCATTCTCGTTTTTTCCTTTTCTTCTAGTTTTTCTTTTCTTCTTTCTCATTTTCTTTCCTTCTCTACTTCATATCCTTCGCTCTTCTCTTCTTCTTTTTCACAAATACTTTCTTTATTTTCGGTAGCTGTCTTCTCTCTGCACAACAATATCATTGTCATTAATTTTACTTTTTCAAATATATATTTTCGCTTTGCTTTTTCTCTGCTTTTCTTATCTATTCTTATGCATTGTTTTATTCGAATCTTCGTTTTATAAATGGATCAGCTGCAGCATTCAGTATACAGTATATATTTTACGAAACGTACTGGTGATTTTCAAAGCAACGTGATCATTCTCCTAACAAGGACTGATTCATTTTCTTATTATTTAATATTTTTCATTATCATATTTCGGATTCTCAAACATTCCTCGGGATTATTTTTTCATTTACTTACTTTCCCTTTCATTTTCATCCAGTTTCTTTCTTTCTATTGAAATAAATCGCTAGGCTATGTGGGACTTAATCTTGGACGTTAGGAAATGAAGAACTGACATGTTCATCGATTTAGGACGTGAAAGTAAGAACTATTATTTCAGTGTGCCGTACAATTCTTACGAAAATTAATATTTCTGTTGTGTCTAAAACATTTAATGTATTTGTGATGCATGTTTTTTTTTTTTACAAATTATACAAGTATTTTGTTAAATGTCTGTGTTTTTCATATCTAGGCAGGTTGACAAGACTTGAAAAAAACAGCAGAAAACGAGATCAAGTGATGTAAAAAACAACATCCTTTTTACTCTAATGTATACTGAGAAGGATATATATATATATATATATATATATATATATATATATATATATATAATATATAAAAAAAAAATAAATAATAATAATCTAATATTCCATGGTCTAATTTATTCCATTGGAATTTAAATAAATTCAAATTTTTTAAACCTATAAGTTCATTTTATTTGTTTTCATTTTGAATTTGTAGGTCTGATTTGGATCGTATTTATGATTCCAATGGAATAAATTATGACCATGAAATATTAGTGTTTAAGCCTTTTTTATTATATCCTTACTCTGTCCTAGACATTGAGTTCTACCTGGATTCTTCCTCTTGGAAAATTTTTTTTTTTTTTTCTGAAAATATACATGTATGGGTATATTTTATATATATTTTGCATATGTATGTATATTTTCCACTAATATATATATATATATATATATATATATATATATATATATATATATATATATATATATATATATATAATTATATAAAGATTATGATTTATTATATAAATTGATATATTAATAATAAATATAATATTAATTTTAAATATTAATAAAATAAAATATCTTTTTATAAATTAATATAAAATATAAAAACATATTAATAATAAAATTAATTCAATATATGAATTATATAAAAGGTGCATGTATATGTTCCTTTATATATATAAAGGAACATATATATGTACCTTTTCTATAATGGAATTCCTAAACTTATCTCTTAATAAAAAATAAAATAAGCTTTGTTTTCATCGAATGGTTATTTGGTTCCACCAAAAGGAGTATGAGTGAAAGTGGTCCATGGTTAACAAAGGTTGATATTCATTTATATAGAGTTCTACTTGATATAACTTCAAGTATGGTTTTGAGCTGATATGATATCGTCATTTTTTGTCTCCTTTAAAATTAGATGAATATTAGCAGTTACATTTTCATCAGAGCGAGCCGAATACACGCATACTCGTCACTCTTCCGTTCTGGTTTTTACGACTATCATAGAACATGGTAGGTTTTCTGGTTGCAACCCTGTGTCTTAACACATTTCTTGAATGTAAGTTTTAAACGTGCGCCCTATGTATGTTTTGGTGCGCACAACAAGACGTCACTGACAATCTTCAGGAATGCCACGCCAATCCAAATGACTTTATAGCCGGGAAGTAAATCCTCGTAGAGCTGCCTTTTTGTAGTGTTCTGGTTTCAGGAAAGATTCATTTCAAAACGTAGCATTCCTATATCCAACTAACTTTCTTTTCTAATAGTTTTGCCATTATTGACGTTCAGAAAGAGAGAGAACGAGAGAGAGAGAGAGAGAGAGAGGTAGAGAGAGAGAGAGAAGAGATTGCCAGAGACATAGAGAGGGAGATTATTATGTATTGGAAGAAGTTTCGTCTAGTCTGGAAGAACAAATTTCCAGATTATTGACATCTTGTCCACTGCAGTTAAAAATTCTCTTACAAGCTTTAAGTCTCTCGATCTCCATCCGTTTAGTGTCAAAGCAAATGCAGCAGCCTACCGGGCCAGAATTACTCGTTGTTCTAAGACTAAATCGGGCAAGACATTCCTGACAAAAAAAGCTATCTGTTTTATTTTCATCTCGTTTAACAGTTTAGTCAAAATATCATCACCGAGAAAAGATCATTGTTCTTTTGCTAAGATCAACCGCATTCTTTCAGACTTTCTCTTGGAATTTGCCTATTCACTCAACTTGTAACTTGTTTTCTTTATCATTTTCGCTGTCTCATTCTTCCATTTTTTTTCTGGCTGGTTTTCATATCCTAACTTCTTTATATTTATATATCATACCTCTTGATTCCCTGGGGAGCATAGGGCCGCAACAACACCCTCTCCTACGGACACGTTTCCGGGCGATCCTCTTCAGCTCGGCGCATGTGGCGTCTGCATTCACTAGTGCGTCATCACTTCTGCGTCAAGTCTGTTTTGGTCGACCACTTTTCCCTTGCCTTGTGGATTCCACTCAAGGGCCAGCTTAGTGAATCTAGAAACAGGTTTTCAGACAGTGTGGCTGATACATCCCCATTTCCATTTCTTGATGTCAATCACAATTGGGACTTGTCTGGTTCTGTCCCACAGTTGGTCCTTAAAGACGACTTCCGGTCACCTGATATTGAGGATGTCCCTTGGATATTGGTTGGTAAATGTCTGAAATTTGTGGGTGTTGGTCATGGTTACCCGCCAGGTTTCTGAGCCATAAAGTAGGGCCGATGACGTTGGTGTTGAAGATCCGGATCTTGTTGCAAATTGAGAGGGCTGTTGATTTCCAGATTGGCCACATTGTGTTGAAAGCTTGTCGGACTTTGTTGATTCGGCACTTGATGTCTTCATCTGTCTCCCATCTTTACTGATGATGCTTCACACACAAACTTATCAACTTCCTTGATGTCTTTTTGGTGTAGTCACACTGGGTCGTGTTGTCTATTGTTTACCCTCATGACATCCGTCTTCCCGATGTTGATTTGGAGGCCAATCTTTTCCGCTCCTCTGCAACACGACTCAGCTTCTCCTGCGCATCTTGTTGTTTTTGAAAGAGAAGGCTGATATCGTCTGTGAAGTTCAGATCCTCCAGCTGCTTCATAAATGTAGAAGAACTGGTTTACAGTGGACCTTCATGAAGCATCTGGACGATCTGGAGTTTTTAAAGAAATTTATTATTATTATTAGAAACATTTTATGATTTAGTGTGTTGTGTGAAATCTTCTGAATTCTGACTTAAAAGTGGAATTTTATATTTTTATCTTTTATTATTCTATAATATAAATATTTTACATACACATATATACATGTATCCCTACATACATACATTAAAATATCCATACATACAGAAATACACGTAAATAGAAATATATATACACAATACATCTGGACATATATATATATATATATATATATATATATATATATTATATATTTATTCTATTTTAAAATGTCTTTAATAAATAAAAGACATTTTAAATTGTCCATTTTTAAATAAATATATATATATATATATATATATATATATATATATATATATATATATATATATATTATTCTCCTTTACTCCATCATTTTACCTACTTAATTTTATATATATATATATATATATATATATATATATATATATATATATAAACCATATATATGCACACAGATATACACATCCAGCAGTTCAAAAACACATACACACATGCATACAAACATATACAGATATGAACAACACAGTATACGTATGCCAACACATACCCATATCAACAGGAGGACCATCTGGTAATAAAAAATAATAACCTATTATATTTTCAATGAAATATCATTATCATTGAAAGTATAACAACCCCTATAATAAGTTAAATTTATAATGGTGTTTACAGTTAACTGTTAGTTCATATCTTTAAGAGATGGGTCTTATTCTTAAAACTAATTATTTCAAATTTTTCGTTAAGACAAGGAAACATGGAGCATAATTAGGTTGGTGCAACATTAATGTCGTTTTTTCACGTTAAAAAATACATCAAAAAATGACATTATTACGTCATTATTTTTGCACCAACCTAATATTTCATTGTATATGTGTGTGGTTGTTGTCTTTTTGTTGTAAAAGGTCGTGCAAATATTTCCTGTCTCGTCAATTTTTTGTGTGTATATATCTAAATATGTCTGCGTGCTTATGTATTATAAAATGAATAGAATAACATATGTATTTTTTCTTTTTTCCTCAATAATTTTAAAACTTTAAACTTTATATAGATTAAATTACATTTTTGAAATGGGTAGTTTTTAATTTTAATTTCAAATTTTATCGTACAATTTAATACTTATTATTCCCTTTTAGTATAAACCTAAATTTAAAGCATTTAACAGTTATTATAACCTTACTTCATTGTCAATTTTTTTGAATTCTCGTATACTTGTATTTTGATTGGTCATTTGAGCTCATGTAACAGCGGTTCCCCTTACGAGGTGTGGTTAATTAATTTGAACCTTTTAAAACCTTTATTCTACAATCTACATTCAACATTATCACTTGATAAGACACCAGAGGTGCTGAAACAAAATGGGTATTTTTGTAGTGATTTTATAACATATTTATGTTATAATTTTAAATATATATATATATATATATATATATATATATATATATATATATATATAATATAATTTTAAAACTTTGAAAACAGCATGAAAAAAAGGCACAAGCAAACCGGGTTTTTTGAGTCGCCAAAGAAAAATGAAAATAAGAACATTAATGAACCCATCTCAAATTTACAAGATTCAAAATGGATGAAAATATGTATTTCGAGGACTAAATAGAACCTATAAGAGAACTTAAATCAAATACTAGAATGACACCGTAGCATGTATTGGGTTATATATATATATATATATATATATATATATATATATATATAAAATAAGGAAAATTGAAGTCAACACTTAGAGGCGACAGGCTGTTTCATGCTAGACGCAATTATCAAGCCACGAGTGCTGTTTTTTTTTTGTTTTTTTTTCTCGGCTATTTATACGTACGGGTTAGTGGTGTATTCTGGGTAGTCTATTTTGGCGGTTATTTTGCCAGAAGTCGTTTATTTGTTTATTTATTTATTTGGGTTAGATTATTTTGCTTGTGTTTATTTATTTTTATTATTATTTTTATTTTTAACTTATATATTTATTTATTTTTATTTAATCGGTGTTTTATTAA